ATTCTCATTTGGAACATTGCAGTGTTGTTGCTGGAGTCTGGTTTGAAGCCAAGTGTAATTTGTGTAAGTGTAGCCAATGTATTTATTACTGCTCCATGCAGGTCACAGCGCACAAAGCAACTGTATAAACCTGGGCTGGATGTAAGCAAAACACAGACTCTGTGCACAGAGGTCTGTCTCACAAGTGAAATAACTAGCAATCCAATGTTGCCGTTTTTAAGTGTCTGTTTATTTTATGACTACAGCAGCTTTTAGAAAGAAAGGCAGCAGAGGGCACTGGGTTTCAAACGTTTTCTAAATCAAGAGGATGCAATAAATATTATATGGTAAGAAGGTGTGCAGGTATTCTCTCTGCTCTGTGCCCTAAGTATCTCACTGCAGAATGCAGTGCTAGAATTTTAAGTGAAAGGATGCGAGTGTAGATCTGATCATTTTAAAGGAGTCTAAGGTGATTGCCACCGATGTAAATGGGTGAAAGCTTGTGGGTCTCCAAACTCACTCTGGTCACACTGCAATGGAACCTCTTGAGCGCTTGAGTGAGCGTGTACCTAAAGACTGCAAAGTACTTCTCCCAAGGAAACTTAAATGATAAATAAATAGTCCTTTCAGTTGACATAACGTTGTGAGAGCATAGGTGAATGTCGCAACCAATTTGCGCACAGCAATGTCCCACAAACAAACATGAAGTGAATGTATTTTCAGGGGTAACTGTTGGGCATTCAAAACACGCTTCTCTTTTTGGCATCTTTAACGTCCATTGAACAGGCACAAGGGAACCTTGGTTTAATGTCTCATCCAAAGGGCAGCACCTCCAACGACACAGAACACCCAGTACTGCATAAAAATAATTCAATCCACGACTGTTTGTGGGACATTGCTGTGTGCGATTGGCTGCCACATTTCTCCCACAAAACACACAGTCAATCCACTTTACAATATATTCTGTGAGGTGCTTTGAGACGTCTCAACAACATGATAAGGCTCTATATTAAATGCAAGGATTATAATTATTTTTACTATTGAAGTGTCAGCCTCAGATTGTGAATTCAAAGCCCTGACGTCAGGTTTGAAGCCACAGCGTTCTAACTCAGAGGCAAGAGTGCTATCCACTGAGCCAGGCTGACACTTTCCCAGGAGGTAGCGGTGAAGTTTACATCGCAAAGTACTGGTGACAAAGTTTGAGTTAAAGAGTGTTTGATTTATCTCCAATTCCTCGGAGACTGTGATTCCATTCAGGTTGTGCGGTCAGTGTGGGAGAGAACCTCTTTCGAGGTGGCTGGTAGAGAGATTGCATTTCGTGCAATAGTTCAGGAGGGAGGAGAGAGGGAAAACCATCACTGGATATAGCGATGCTTAAAATAAATTGAACCGAAATGTAAAATTCATTGTACTCGTGGAATCCCCTGCTGAGGACAAAATCCATATTAGCTTTGAAGAGGAATTAGATATCTAAAAAAAGTAGTAATCTACATGGGTGTAGGGGACTGAATGGATTCCTCTTTCAAATAGCGAACATGGACATGATGGTTGAAAGGCCTTCTTTTGTGTTGCAATTTCTATGGTCTCATAGACTCAATACTTGTGCAGCCAGGACCACCCTATCCTTTTGAGCTTTGGCTCTGACTGTTGAGTGCATATTTACATGTTGACTTACATGCCCCCAGATCTGCCCGTCACCTTTTCTGAGAGCCAGTTCAATGCAGGAGGACCCCTATTTATTCTCCACTCTCAGGAAATAGTTATATTTCAAGACAGTTGTGTAACATTTACAAAGAATGTACAGCATGGAAATAGACTACTCAACCATGTTTATCCTCCATATGAATACTTACCTGTTCCTTACTCCCTCCCATATCCTTTATTCCCCTCTCCCTCATGTGAAGGTCAAGCTTCCTCTTGAATGCATCAACACTATCTGATTCAACCACTGCTTCAGGCAGCGAGTTCCACAATCTCACTATCCAGTTGCTATTTTATATTTGTGTCCATGTCAATCTCAAAAAGGTAAAGGAAGTGCAATAAACTTGAACCCAGAACCTTCAAATTTCAAGTCCAGTGCTGAAGCCACTGAGGTATTCAGGATGCCAAATAAGAGCTCAGTCAGTCTGTGTATTGAAAAGAAAAGTGTCAAAGCCACATGTAGAATTATTACTTTCTCTTCACACACCATCGGTTAGAGAAAGTTGTGAAACTGGTGAGAGCAAGAAATCTTGACTGGAATCTGGAAATATTTGTTGCTTGTGGTTCTGTTACACGATCAAGTTTCAATTATTTTCACCCTCCCCACAAAAGTGTTCTTTTCTTCATAAAGTATGTTTTGTAATCTCAGATGTGTTTTTATCCCATCTGGGAATCAGCAATTAGATAAACCCACAAGCTCAGTGTTAAAGTCCTCCCCCTCTCAACTCCCCCTCCACCCCCATCCTAGGGCAGATCCAGTGTTTTCATTCAAACCTAACAAACACTCATGTTCCCTGGACATCCAAGACCATCTCTAGGGACAAAATTCCATCCAAAGCATCTGTACATTTGAGCACCATTCCAAATGACTGTGATCTAACCCATTGCACCAATAAATCCTTCAGCTAGAATAAGGGCTAGTGGAATCAATAGGGAATAATCAGTCTGAGTGAAAGGACCAAAGAAACTCTGCAACTGGCTGCTGGCACTTCCTCCAGTTACACAATGATGGTTATTTATCTTGTATCTAATCACCCAAGTCTTTAACACTGGAGGACCTGAATTGTGAAGACAAATTCAAATGAGCAGAGAGATATACATTGTTGTGCCATTGGCGTAAGAAGATGAGGTGAAATTCACATGTGGAGAGTAGGGAAGAGAGAGAGAGATCAGATTTAATGAGCAGAGATCAATGAATGATCTGGAGAATTTGCTTGATTGCTTTTGAGGTACAGATAATAATTATTGTACCATTTTCCCAGAGAGATTTCCCCAGGATGGGGCTGAGGTCCATGATAAGGATAGATTCTGCGTGGCCTGTGGAAGGATTGGCTCAATGAGCCAAATTAACTTTCCTTGTTCCTTTCACAGGTCACAGCATTCTCTGTAATGGAGATGTTTCGGTAACATAATGGGATAGAGCGGCTACCTTTAATAGACCAGGAGTCAGCCTGGCACAATTGGTTGCACTCTAATCTCTGAGTCAGAGGATTGTGGGTTCAAGCTCCACATCTCACATCGAGACGTTGAACTCATAGTCTAGGCTGACAGTCCAGTACAGTACTGGGGGAGCGTTTTTGTGGCTGGAGGTGCCTTCCTTCAGATGAAGGTCCTCTCTGCCTGTTCAGCTGGACATTAAAGATCCCCTGGCACTACTCAAAAAGAGATGGGAGTTTTTCCCAGTGTCCCGACCAACAATTCTCCAGGTAAAATTGGTCATCCATTCACTTCATGACTTTTTGTGGGATATTGAGGTACATAAATTAGCTTCCCTGTTCATCTACAAAATGCAGTCAATACACTTTGTGGTAAATGCTGTAAAGCACTTTGAGACATTTGACAATGTGGTAAGGTAATAATAATAATCCTTGCATTTGATATAGCGCTTTTCACGTCGGGAGGACGTCCCAAAGCGCTTCACAGAATATACTGTAAAGTGAATTGACTGTATATTTGTGGGCGAACGCGGCAGCTAATTGCGCACAGCAATGTCCCACAAACAGTCGTGGATTGAAAATGACCAATTTATTATTGTTTTGGTTTTGGAGGGATTATTATTAGGCGTGTGGAGTAAGGAAACTTGCCCAAGGTTTCGCCCTGCCTGGAATTGAACTCAGGTCTCTCACTTGCAAAGCGAGTGCTCTAACCACTGAGCTACAGGACTCCACAAATATGTAATATATCAAATGCAAGGATATCAGTCGTCAAACCTTTCAACAAGTACAGTATCTGTATGTAATCTGTAGAGACTCCTGCCCAGCTCTGCACTACGTTCTAGACTAACTGTTTAGTTAGTTTATAAAACATGTGGGAATTAATGACCACTACAGGGAAAATGTTTACTTCAATCATGTCTTTACATTTTACTCCAAGCATTTTCCCATACCTGGTGCTGCACGCATTGACTGCTGAATATACCATAGAAAGCAACAGATGATCTGGGATCTCTCCAGTTAGTGTTCCTGTCATTCATACAATCATTGATGTATCTTATCCTTAAGTTCAGAGGTCCATAGACAACAGGGTAAAAATCTGGGAGAAAGAGACCTTGAAATATGAATAGATAATAATAATAATCTTTGCATTTGATATAGCGGTTTATCATGTTGTTGAGACGTTTCAAAGCGCTTCACAGAATATACTGCAAAGTGAATTGACTGTATATTTTATGAGCGAAATGCAGTAGCCAATTGCATACAGCAGTGCCCCACAAACAGTCATGGATTGAGTGACCAAATTATTATTTTTTTAAGGGATTATAACCCGGGAAAAGCGATCCGCCAATTGACTAACAACTGGGTTCCCTACTTATTGCTAGAGTTGTGTGGAGTAAGGAAACTTGCCTAAGGTTTTGCCCTACCCAGGAATCAAACCCGGGTCCTCTATTTTGCAAGGCGAGTGCTCTAACTAGTATGCTATGGGACTCCACAAGATGAAGCTTACTGCAGGAGTGCATGTGCTGAGTATTGGAAGACAGAGGAATGAAAGTATTTACAAATTTGTCTCCATTCTCTGCAAGGCTGGTATTTAACCCAATGAGCATGTACAAAATAAACTAAAGTGAACTCAGCTGGTTAAAGAAATGAGATGAGTAGCTGCCTGTTTATCAGGTACTCAGAGACAGACGTCAGTTTATAACTGGGCTGAATTCATTTCAAACATTGGAGCAGAAGTGTAGATGTAATTATCTCGCCAGCTGTGATGTGCTACCAAAATGGTATTCCCCGTTCATCCAATAAAAATTTGGAATGGGGGTGGAACTTGTAAATGGAGTAACACATTTAGCTGAAAAGGATTTGAATTTGAGATCATTCAATCCTGCTGTGGCCAAGCTGTGCGAGCAGAGACTCGAAACACCCACCCGCCATGAACGTCAAAACTTGTGCTCTGATCTCCCTCCTGATTGGGATAGCCTGCATCAACTTATCCTGTGGTAAGTGAACATTGGTGCTGCTGTGATGTGACAAGCGTTGCTTGTGAATTTAATGCACTGCATTGTGGGGTTACGGAGATATTACTGATTAAAATTTTGAGAATTGCTCAGTGAGGAGGAATAAACCAGAGAGTGAAAATGTATTCAGAAACTCGGTTTTAGATCTGAAATTGCACTTTGTTCATTTTTAAGTTGGGTTAATTTCGATTGTAATAGGTGATGACCGCACAGCCTGAAAAATACAAATCGCTTGTTTTTCTGCCCTTGTGAAACCTTCCTCAGAAACTCTTAAATGCAAAGCAGAAGAAAATGAGGCACAAATGTAACTGACACCGTGTGATTAGACACCGAACTTTCAACATTTCACATTTGGTAAATATTCAGAGCTCTTAAAATGGTCATTGAGTTCAAGTTTAGAGTGGAATATTGCAACTGCTTTTGGAGGCGAGAAGTAATTTCATTGTAAAGTGTTTGTTTTTCTATCCGTGCTCTTAAACTATGTTTTGACCTTTGCCTCTCTTGAGAACTCAAGGAAATTCTGTTTCCATTTTACGGCAATCCAATATTTATTGGTGCCGTTGAGCTAACAAAAGAGCTCAATGCGTGAATTTTGTTGAGCGGAAAGAGAAGATAGCTTTGCCCTGGCTAATATGGCAAATCAAAAAAAAATTAAACTCTTTTCCTTCGTTTTCTCATAGTTTCCCCTTTGCTTCTGAAAGTGTTGACCGTTGCTGGGGTAAAGTTCTTGGTTGGTTGGATATCTTCTAGTACAAAATATGGTGTAAAGTGCCTATTCTTTGTGTGTGAGCATGGGCAGCAAGAGTAAAAGACCATGACATGTTCTGTCCTCAGCCGATGTCCACACACACACACACACACACTCACACATTTCCAGCAGTGGTCAATTTGGCAATGATAAGGAGCTGGAGTTATCTCTTTCCAAGCCCTAGACTGCTGAGGTTCACTGGAATCAATGAACACATTGCAGTTCAAGGATTGAAACTAGGAACATCTTGGTCTTTATGGCTCAATCCCACATGGTGTGGTTCCCCACTGAAACATTCCATCAGGAAATGATAATTTTAATGGGGCAGTGGCATTTACAAATATTACTGTGATCACATCTTGTAGTTGGAAGCAGGGAGGTCTACTGTCCTTACTTCCATGGGCTGCAGAATGCCAATTCTCTTATTCCTGGTTTGTACAACAATGCATTGATTTCTCACTTCTTGTGACAGATCAGGGAGAACTTCTCCCTCAGTCTTTGTGAATGGTTTAATAGTTGACTAAACACAGGAGGAGCAGCCGGTGAGTGAAGTCTTCAGGAGAGGTAGGCTGCTCTCCACACACATCACAAGCCAACGTCTAGAATGAACAAGAGTGATGCAGAGTTTGTACTGCACGTTGCAGCATAAATCAAAGTTGAGCCATTGCAAATTGTGCCAGAGCCGTGCTACTGGCCCCACTTGCAGTATAAATACATGACTCCGCTTTCCTTGCACAGTGCAGTGCATGGCTCAGTACTCTCAAGGTAGCAGTTATTAATGCTTTTATCCCAAGTGAGAGTAATGTTTCAATACATTCAGAAACTTTGCTTCAACATCTGCCTCTGGGATAAGATCCCCAGAACTTATCTCCTTTTATTTCTTTAGGCATAATCTTGATTTCATACATTCTTGTCCTAAAATACAATACAATTTACATTTATGGAGTGCCTTTACGGTCTCAAAGCGCTTAATATTGATGGATGTGCACCCGAGCCAAGGTGGGCTAGGGAGGGGAAAGATGACCAAAAGCGTGGTCAAAGAAGTACATTTTGAGAATCTCCTACCAAAGAACAAAACCTCAATCCGGAAAATGGCAGTTAAGGCAACAAGTATTTTGGAGGGTGAAACCTCAACTGTGTCTAGATTTACTTAATTAAGATAACATTTTCAGAGCTTCCAGAATTTGGCAAACTATTTAATTAAGTCTTAATTTTGAAGCCTGTTTTCTGTAGCTTCTTGAAATAATTTACATTAAACTGGCTGCAAAATCAATGCTGTATTTAAGAAGCTGTTAAATTCTGGACTCTCTGAAATTGCACATTAATACATTAAGTCTACACCCCGGTGAAGTTTTACCCCTACTGTTTCTAACTTAAATCTCAGTGAGGGGGGCCTGACATTTACACACAGCGCTGACATTTGCGCAAGCCTGACACATGTGTGTGACATTCTAATTGAACATTCGCTTCGTATCAGCTGAGTGAAATTACATTCAGGCGTTGACATACAAGGAAGATAACAATCTTTTCCTGGAGAGACCTCGGTGATGGTTATGGTTCATTTCCAGTTGAGTAATTGATGAAATGATTGAATTATTGGGTTACAACAAAGCAGAACAGGGAAACTATTGGATTATAATAGAGATCAATGCCCTTTGTACTCTATCTCACATTGCACATTTTATCCTGTGGCAGACTAATCGAAAACAAGTTAGAACTGCAATCATATTTATTTAAAGAACACCCAGAAATCTTCTTTTGGCTCTATTCCTTAATATAAGCCAAACGCAGCACATGGCGCAGAAAATCAGTCTTTGAAAGGGTTCTAATTTGAATTGATATGCCAGATGTCCTTCAGACACTCTGAGGCTGTGTGTGGCTCGAGAAAAGACAATAATTACTTTTGACCAATTTCTGCCAATGTTATGTCATATAAGTCACATAACTTGATATGAACTGCTTTTAATAGCCTGTGTTGGAACAGATGTTCATTTTAATGGCACAAAAGATGACCTCAATCCTTGCGAGGATCCCATTTATTAAGCATTGGGAGATTCTGAAGGGAGTGAATTGCTTTATTCTAGAGGCCAATGTCTGTAACGTTAGAGGATTCACAAAGCATTGTCAGTTCTGCCAAGAAAACTAAATGACGTAATATGTCGATGCCCTAACAATAATCTTCGCATTTGATATAGAGTCTTAGTACATTGTCGCGACGTCTCAAAGCAATTCACAAGATTTTACTGTGAGGTATAGTGACTGTGTATTTTGTAGGCAAATGCAGCAGCCAATTTGCACATAGCAATGTCCCACAAGCAGCCAGCGAAGTAAGTGACCAATTTTATTTTAGGGATTGTTGGCCAAAACACCGGGTGAAACACCCTTCTTTAATGGGCAGTGCCACAGGGCAGTAGATGGGTGAAAATTACCTGTAATTCCCTCTGTGTCAATTAAAGCTACGTGCACAAATTTAAAGCTGCAAATACCATTCAGCCCATAAAAGGTTAAAGATCACTACATCACATAAAGACGTGGTTTGGCTTTTTTCCTTCATGACCCCTTAAAATGAAATGTTTACTTTTTTAAAACTGGGCCTCAGACAAGTGACATTGATAAATCAATGTTAAATTCTACTCTCTGGGCTCAGTTCCAAAGGTGGGGAGCACACAATCTGCCAGAACCGTGTCCAAACATGAAACCCTTAACACAATCCCTAAGGAATGACCTGCAATGCACTCCCTAAGTCGATGTGAACTTGGGGTTAGCACAGATAAGATAAGCCATTGAGAGTATTACTGTATGTAATGTGAATTCCACACTTGAAGACTTGTACATCGTAGCCGTGGACTTTGCCTTATTTTGAGCATTGAACGATTCACACATTTCAAACCAGGTTTGACAGTATCAAAGAAACATCCAGTTTTTGTCCTCTACTGCTCCTTCCACTCAGTGCGAGAGGGAACAGTGATCAATTGCTGTGATGCTTTCAGATGAATGGCTACCTGGTTTGGCAATCAAACGACTAAGAAGTACAAACGCAGTCTTCACACAATAGAATCAAACCACTGGCACTGCACAATATTGTCTTCAAATCATTAGTCCATCTTCACCTCTGGCAAAACAAATGGTTTCATCTCGGTCCCCTTCCCTCAGATCCCTCTTAATGACTACTGTGCTTGTCCTACCAGCCTACGATCTCAACCTCCAGTGTACTCCAGCGCGAGGGAAAGGGATTTATTTCTCTCTCCCATGGCCAAATGAAGGGACCTGAGGCCCCTAAACTAGATCAGGTTTGGGTGCCCGCTGTACCATGCACGCAAAATATGCAACAATAGCTTTTTAAAAGACTTTCTTTCCATCTTTTCTCCGCGCTGCTTCGTATCTCCTGCTCCGCCACTCTTCTCGTCACTCATCACGCTGCCTCTCATGAGGTTGCATGAGGCACAAGGCAGCGCGGAGAGACACGGGAAGAGATGCAGAGCAAGAGGTAAAGGGCCAACCATATCGGGGGCCCCCTCAGACTTTGGGGACCTAAACCATGGCTCCGTTGTCTTAGTAGGTAGTGAGACCCTGCTCTCTCCTTTTTAAACCAGACATTCTTAAAGGTTGATTGCAATATGCAGAAATGTGTGCCTCTGAGGAGCTAAAACAAATAGATTAGAGCCTTTAACAAAAATAACTTGTATCTCGAGAGGCGAACAGGTCAAAATGCTTCACTTTGAAAGCGTCGCTCTCAACGGTGCTTTCAAACTCAACAAAATGTTAATAAGTAGATGAATACAGAGAATTGATAATACAGTATAGTTTTTCGAATGCAAGATGGCTGAAAACGTATTCATTTTTACGCGTTCATTTCTAAAGAATTTTCCTCTTAGGTGCGACACAGACCAGAACCTTCAGGCTCCATATGGATCAGCTCCATAATGGGCAGTGCCAATACCAACATCCACTAGGGGAGAGTCTGTGTGAATAACAATTTCAATGCAACCTCACGTAGGTTATAAATCAACAAGGGGAACCTGGAGCTCTTAAGAAGAAAGTTGACAGACAGTTCAGATTTAATTACCTTACACAGAGGGCAATGAATTTGTGGAATAGATGACACAGGGAAGCAGATTATGTCAGCAGTATTCAGGAGGGAATTGGGAATTAGGAAGGTATTTGGTGAAGGAATCGATTTGAGAGATATGACAGAGACTAGGGTTGGATGTTTTTGGGTTTAAAGTGTAAGACCAGCCAGATGCGAGATGGCTAAGAAAGTATTAATTTTTGCACGTTTGTTTCTAAGGAATTTTCTGCTTAGGTGCGACACAGACCAGAACCTTCAAGCTCCGTATGGAGCAGCTCCATAATGGGCAGTGCCAATACCAACAGTCGCTAGGGGAGACTCTGATGATCTTTTCTGATGCTGTACATTCCTGTGCAAGTCAAAGATCGAGATAGAAATTTCAATCTGCAACATGTTCCTGACATGTGAAACATTCCTCTTTCTTGCTGATAGTCTGTATTTATAGGAATAATCTCTCTGTACTGAAGTCTGATTAGAAAAAGCATTTCATTTGGATCTTTGAAACTTAATTGCATGCAGTTACAACCTTACAACCCAGTGTTCTTCATCCCTTGCAGAAAAGCCATCGTCCATAAGCTACAGATGCAAGTGCAGAGGTGGCACCACCCGCCTCCACCCAGGAATGATCAGGAAACTGCTCTTCCTGCCAATTCCAAACTGTCCTCCACAGATCATGTAAGTTTTTATCATATAATAATAGTAATGCTTCCATTTGATATAGCGCCTTATCACGTCATCAAAGTGCTACGCAGAATATTTTGTAAAGTGGATTGAATGTGTATTTTGTGGGAGAAACAAGATATCCAATTGCACACAGCAGTGTCCCACAAACAGCCATGGATTGCAATAACCTGTAAATTACTTTGAGATGTTTCAACCTTATAGGAGTGAAATCAAATTTAAGGATCATTATTCTAAGGTCTATCTGCTTGTCTTATAATATAATAATAATCCTTGCATTTGATATAGCACCTTTCATAAGGTTGAGACATGTCAAAACGCTTCACAGAATATATTGTAAAGTGGATTGACTGTATTTTTGGGGCGAAACGTCTTACTCATTAATGTGTTAACTTCAATAGTTCTATGAACAATGGATTGCCATTCTGTATAGAAACAAACAGGTGACCAAGTGTCACATGTACTTTTCAGTCCATATTGTGAGTTGCTCCTCAGTAATATCCAGGTAACAAACAGGTCTTGGTAATGTATGCCTTTTCCGACTGAAGCAGACAGCTCAGTAATTATCATTTATGGTTTTTGTGTTGGGGTTTGAGGCATTGACATTGAAATCAGAAACCAGATCTTCAGACATTGCTTTCATTCAGTCACCCAGGAGGTAGATAAGAGTAAGCGGACAAACACCAGACACCATAATGTTGACATATTACAGGGCAGTTACTTGCCAATTGGCTGGTTACCAGACTTCCCACTTTCACACTTCCTGGACATTTCCTGATTGTTTGACAATAAATGAATCATGCTTGCTTCTGGAAAACTGCCACACACACAGGCACATGGTATTGCTTGCACATCGTGACGCCTTTATATTTAGTAATTGGAACCCTCTTCTAATGGAGTAAATTTGCTCATTTAGACCACATGCAGGGATATAAAAAACATCCTGGGCAGTTGAGCATCAAACACGTTACCAGGAATGTTACTTGTTCAGAACCCAGAATGGTAACTATGTAAAACTAGGTGAGATACTGAGGTGAGAGGAGACCGCTTCCAGCTCAGTTAGAGCAAATCCAACATGGGAGAGAATTAGAAGATAATGTACAATAACAATTATCTTTGCATTTGATGTTGTTGAAACGCTTCAAAGCGCTTCCCATGATGCACTGCAAAGGTGGCGTGCCTGTGTGTATTTTGTGGATAAAATGTACCTAGTGTCTTTCACGTAGCAGAATGTCTCAAATCATTTGATCCTAAGTCTAAAAACTGAAAGAGTTCCCACTCTGTGCAGGAGTCATGCACAGAATGCCACTGTGACTAGATGAGGACATTAAGAGTTATGAGGATAAGGTGCTTCTCTCTTTGGTGGTGCTATAGTAAGCAGATACTGACTATACCAATTTCCCAGATAGCCTTCAGTGACCTCTCATTATCTCAAATAACTGTTTCTCAGCATCAGCCAGTAAATTATTCAAAGTGTTTCTGTTGTACACAGTTCAAGTTGACATGGATGGACACTTCAACAGCAGGACACTTTAACAGCAGCTCCAGACCAGAGAGCTAAGAAGCTCATTTGCACAAAAGCTTGATAAAAATTGAATTATCACCTTTGTGGGCGTAACCCCAAACAATTAGGAAAGAGCAATATCAACTTTCTTCATTCGAACCATAATAATAATAAATAATCCTTCCATTTGATATAACGCCTGTCATGTCGGGAGGACGTCTCAAAGGGCTTCACAGGATTTACGTGTACATGTTAGGTGTAGTGAGTGTGTATTTTATGGGCGAAGGTGACAGCCAATTTGCACGCAGCAAAATCTCACAAACAGTGAATAACCACTTTTACTCTTCAGCACAGAGCTTTAAGGAGATCTCCAGCAACATGGCAGGTGATTGGCAGCTACATGAACATGGAGCCCCCAGGCTCAGAGGTCACGTCAGAAAACTAGTCTGTTGCCTCCTGATTATCAACACAGAACTCTAGAGTATCAAAAGGTTGAGGCTCATGTAATCACTCGTTGGTAAGGGGTTTACTGCTCCTACATAAGCAGAAAGGTTGATGTGAACTGTTAATAATACTCCTTGCATTTGATATAGAACCTTATCATGCTGAAACATCTCAAAGTACTACAGAGTTTTTCTCCTAAGCGATTGTGTATTTTGTAGGCACGTGTGGCAGCCAATTTAACAAGCAGTGTCCTATAAACACCCATAAAATGAAGGACCAATTGTTTTTTTTTCTCTCTGGGGGATTGTTGGCAAGGATGCTCGGAGAAACTCCCTTCTCTTTTTGAATGGTGAAAGAATCATGAAAAATTCAATTCGGTAACTTTTAAGTATTTCAGAAAAACAGCTTCTAAATTAAGAGTGGGTGTAAGAATTCTGCTATTCTGCACGATGTTAAACTTAAACAAAATGGTCTTACAGGCTAAGAATAGGTGAAATTTCAGACCTGAGGTGTGCTGCATGAGGAGGTTGTTCATTGATGTTCCTGGGAGATTTGCAAATAAAAATTACTTTGACTTCATAACCTTCTCTTCAACAAAGTCAAAAAGCAACTTAAAACTTTTGCTTGATCCCCAAGACTGAATTTACCCTGCATTACTTTAGCTTATGAGTTGGCAGATAAGCATTTCCTTTGCCATCTATTCCAATGGCTCTGTGATCAGAAGCAGATATTTGTACGACATGAAGACAGTATTTGTTCCAGATAAGAGTTGTGCAAAGACGGTCAAATTTCCCCTCTTATCAATACATCATCCAGAGTCAAAAATAAGCACTGGGGTCAATGCAAAGTGGACATCTGGCAAGGAAATATTTACCTACACATTCTACCTCCCAGCTAGTTGGCATTAGCACACTTTTGTTTTGCTCTACGTCTCAAAGAATTGTTTATTTGAATTGACAATGGGGGTTGTGGATTTTCCTTTTTGTTTGAAGGCTTTAGAAGGCCATCAAACTGGTAAGGGCTTTCACTGCTGTTTACAGTTCAGTAGGAAATCCTGGGTGGTGGTTTATAATGCATTCCCTTCAGTACAACCGCAAACCGTCTTTCCCCATGGTCCACAATAAGGATCAGTGAAACAATACCCTTATTGAAGTATTTCTGTCTTACCAACATTCCAAATACAATTACTAAAACTGTCAGCATACATATGTTTTTTCTATATATATGGTATTTAATATAATGATAATCCTTGCATTTGACATAGAAGGATGTCTCAAAGCTCTTTGTAGGATTTGCTGTAAGATGAAGTGGCTATATATTTTGTAGGCAATCGGGCAGCTAATTTGCACACGGCAGTGTCTCATAAACAGCCATGAAGTGAGTGACCAATTTTATCTGGGGGGGGACTGTTCACCAAGACACTGGGAGAAACTCCCTTCTCTTTTCAAATAATGCTATGGGATCTTTAGCGTTTACCTGAACAGGCAGATGGGACCTTGGTTTAACGTCTCATCTGACGGACAGCACTTCAGACAATGCAACGCTTTCCTAGCATTGTATTGGAGTGTCAGTGTAGACTGTGAGATCAAAGTCCCAACGTGGGGCTTGAACCTAACACACTCTGATTTGGAGGTGAGAGTGCTCCCAGCTGAGCCAGGTTTCAGTTTCAGAATGAACTTTGGACTTTGTGTCAAGGAACCAAAATACTATATTGCAAACGGGACCATTTTCTGTTTGTTTAAATGCGTCCAGGATATTTCCTCATTTGAAACATACAAACAAAGATCATTCCTTTGTAGCTTCACGCAGCTGTCATTGGCATAAAACAAAATGGTGTAGTAATACTTTAAGCAGGAGCAGGCAAATGTCTGGGTCAACACAGTGAGACTCTGGTAGAAAAGAAGCAGGATTCCTGCAACCAGCCCCAGACATTGTGAAATCAACTGCAACAATAACTTGCATTTCTATACTACCCTTCACATGGGACAAGATCTTGGAGTGTTTCAACGTGATGGAGGTTGGAGCAAGAGAGAAAGGTGACTGGGAAGGGCAGGTGACTGTAGGAACAGTCGACGAGATAGGTTTTAATAAAAATAAGAATAATGAATTTGATATAGCACCTTATCATGTCGGTGAGACATCGCAAAGCACTTCACAGAATATATTGTAAACCGGATTGACTACATTTTGTGGGTGAAACATAGGTAAAGGAGGAGGCCATTCAGCCCATCACGCCTGTTGCACACTGTCATGTACTTTTATTTTTCATAATTTATGAAATGAGCATTTTCATGAGAATAGTTATTATGAATTGGAGAATAAATTATTAGAGAATAGAACTATCAGAGAAAAATCTCTAGTTATTGCTCATTAGCAGCGATCATACCACATACAAAAGGAGATTTGTTTCTTAATTAAACTTTGTGAAAGGACAGATTAATTGCACTTGTGTTTAAAAAAAATAACACATACACCAGGTCAGGATAGGAATGGTTATTGATGAATGACTGGAGTTATTGAGTGTGATAACAGAATCATTACAGATCGCCTTTCAGAGTGTAACTCGGGTGAGCAGGAAAGTCAACAGGAATTTTTTTTTAGAGTCAAAGTCACCCCTTAGGGAGGGTGAGGTTCAGTGTGAATATACCAGGAGCTTGGAGGAACTTAAGCCACAGCAGGCCTTTCAACACTCGTGGCTGTCTAAAGGTTTGTGAAATTTGAAGCAGAAGGAAAATCTGACAACAGTGCTGTTCCCTTGCAGTAGCTGTGAAGTGGAGATCACTCAGTTTTTATCCCCTTTAAAATAATAGTTTTGAAGATTTCATAGGCTGAATTCCTGATTGGAGACCCTTTGGAACTCCATCCCACAGTCCCGTCGCCATGTTCCCTCCTTTGCCTCCATCAAGGCAAGTCTCAAGATGCTCCTCTTCGACTGCGCTTTTGGGCATCCTCCTACACCTACACTCCCTGTCCTGCATCCCTCCTGATCCCAATCCCCTGCTGTGGTCCAAATTGCTGACTGTCCAGCCCCTTGGGACGTCCTCCCAACATGAAAGGCGCTGTATAAATGTAATTTATTGTTATTATGGTTGGATTTCCTTTCCTCATGTTTTGCCTGGACCAAGTGGAACTTGCCACATGGCCTGCACCTCATGATGAACATAAAGCTCTGAATTAACACCAATAAATGTTTAGCAAGTATACAAGGGTAACTAAACAGTGAGAGCATCAACTGCATAAACATGGCACACCAGCCCACTTTTGAGAGACATGATGTGTCTTCTTTTGGTTGATGTTCCTTACACCTCTTCCTATACTGAAACACTCATTTCATGCTGGAATATGGTTTCACGGGCATCATGAGTCATTGAGCAGTTTGGTCAACTGGGCATTCTTTATATGTGACAGGTAATCTTATTGAGTGGGAATCTCAGTCAAGTCCAATTGTGCCCTTACATGTGCACTTTCCATCATGGTTCAATGGCGATAAGGAGCATAACCTATTGTATTGCTGTTCTTTCCCCCCCTCCCTCATGGATGCAGAGGCCAATTGTAGCTCCAACACAGCAGCCCCAGTTTAATAATAATAATCCTTGCATTTGATATAGCGCTTTTCACGTCAGGAGCACGTCCCAAAGTGCTTCGCAGAACACACTGTAAAGTGAACTGACTGTATATTTGTGGGCGAAATGCGGCAGCCAATTGCGCACAGCAATGTCCCACAAACAGTCGTAGATTGAAAATGACCAATTTATTATTGTTTTTCTTTTTTTGGAGGGATTATTATTAGGCTTGTGGAGTAAGGAAACTTGCCCAAGGTTTCGCCCTGACCTGCCTGGAATTGAACTCAGGTCTCTCGCTTGCAAAGCGAGTGCTCTAACCACTGAGCTACAAGACTCCACTCCAGTTTAGATCAGAGAACTCCACACAGCCAAGGGATCAAAGCTGAGACTTTCCTACTCTTCATATCCCTGCGGTGTATTTTGGAGTGCGTTGACACAATGAGTTGCATTCATTAAATCCAATCTGTTACCACAATAAGCACAAAAACTCACCCACATTTTGCTGTTTTGTTTGACAGAGCCACTCTGAAGTACACTGGAGAACAAATCTGCATTCACCCCCGAACAAGATGGCTGCGTTCCATAAATTTTTTCAATCTGTAAGGTCACACAATCATTTCATGAACTACAAAGTACTAACAGCTTCAATGTACTGTTATTTGAATGCAATGCACTTATCTTAAACACAGTAAACTCCTGATAATACATCACTCCAAGGAAAAAGGGCTCAATTATGAGTTATCTGGTGTGGCGAGTTAGGCATGTGTACAACAACTTGCATTTATATAGTGCCCTTCACCTGGGGCAGCATCGTCGAAGTGCTTAATTTAATACATACATAATACATGAATAAATGCAGCTGGGATATTGACAGCATGATGATTTAAGTGTTAGTGACAAGTTAAGCCAGGGTAGAATTATTAGGGGTTTACTGTATTACTATCCATTATAAATAGTGAATAGCTATTTGTCACTGAAAGGACCATGTCTTACATATGGCTTGGTTGAGGTCAAAACCTGTTATGATTACTTTTTTCCCCTTCCAATTTCCTCTCTTCTCTGCCTCAAGCCTCTGACCCATGCAGATGTATGGTTCAACAATTTAACCATCCTTTAGTACCTTGTCCAACTGGTTATTTTTCATGTGGGAGCCCAGTCAATGAGAACTGTCAGCGTGTTCAACCAACTAGGGAATGAGGCGTAAGATAGCCAGTGCCAGATCTAAATGGGAATTTGGGAGGAACTTCTTCATGCAGATGGTAGTGAGAAAGTGAAATTTACTGCCAAAAGCTGTGTTTGAAGCAAAAAAAAACACCAAAGTATTTCATAGGAAACTTTATGCAGATATGAGGAAGAAGGGAATAGAAGAGTATAGGAGAGGGGAACAGGAGGCTCATGTTGAGTATAATGGACTAGTTAGGCAAATGGCCTGTTTCAATTCTTTGTAATTCTAAGTCACAAGAGGCATCTCAGCCAAGCATGATCTTGTCCTCTCTCAACATCCATAGACATACGCGTTCCAGAACAGGTCACAAGAGAGAAATCAGGAAGGAGAGAAGTGAAAGAGCCATGGCTGCTTTTTCTCTTCAGTAACCCAGGGCTGGCTGGCTCAGGCCAGTCATATCACCGTTGACCCTTCCTCATCTGAGGTAATCTATCTCACCACACACCAGGGAAGAAAGCTGCATCTCCAGGCCAGTATGACTCAGTTACACTCTGGTCATTGGCTTCAGCAATTGAGTTCTCAAGGAAGCCCATTGCGATTGTTTTGAAGACACGGTGGGACATCCACAACAAGAATTCACCAAAACCATTGACATGATTTTGTTGAATCCAAATAATATAAAATGAATATCCTTTAAGTGAGCTACAAACAACCAATTCAGATTATGGTGTAAAACAGCAAGAGTGGGCTGGAATGAATCATAAATGTTACTTGAGCCATGGGAATACTTTCTAGCTTTTACCTTGCTCTCTACTATCATTACTTAACAGAAGATACAACGCTTGAAATGTTTAGGAACGCTTGTTAAAATACCATGGTCTCTTGCCCTTTCTGGGATCGCTTCAGAATTTTACTGGAGTGCAGTCCTGTACTCCGAGATTTACTGCAGATTTACTGAAAAGATTGGAGTAAATTCCATCCAGAGTTATTAATATACACATGCCATATAACATATTAATGTATTGGCATGGCTCCTTGACTCCTTTAATGTTCTACTTTCCATTGCAGAACAGTCTAAAAATAGATACAGAATTATAATAATCCTTGCATTTAATATAGCACCTTATCATGTCTTAGAGATTTCTCAAAGCACTTCACAGAATATATTTGAAAGTGAATTGACTGTACATTTTAATCAACTAATAACCGGGTTCGTAGTTACTGCTAAGTAAACAGAGGAGTGGGGAGTAAGGAAACTTGCCCGATGTTTCGCCCTGCCTGGGAATCAAACCCAGGTCCTCTCGTTTGCGAGGCAAGTGCTCTCACCACTGAGCTACAGGACTACAGGGTTAAGGGAAGGCTGCTTTTAATATTCCCTCACATCTACATCTAAAGGAATGTTATTACTTTTGTTCTCTTTCTGCAGTCGGATGTGAAATCACTGCACTGGGGAATTTGTTTGTTATAAGACTTTATCCAACAAATATTCCTCTTTGTTTTCAGTGGGTGTGTGCGCGTGGAAACAAACAGTTTCTATAGTGGTTGAGACAGGAAGCATTTCTTTACACAAAGTGTATTAACACCTGGAACAGGTTACCAGGAAGGGTGGTTGAGGCCAGGACGCTGGACTGATTTCGGAAATCAGTGGAGTCCTGTAGTGTATTAGTTAAAAGCACTCGACTTGCAAGCAAGAGGACCAGGGCGGGGCGAAACCCTAGGCAAATTTCTTGACTTCAAATGCCTCTGTTTACCTAGCAGTAAGTAGGAACTCTGTTCTTAACCATTTGGCGGATCGCTTTCCTGAGGTAATAATTCCTTAAAAAATAAGAAAAAATTATAATAATTTCGTAACCCAATCCACGACTGTTTGCCGACACTGCTGTGCGCAATTGGCTGCTGTGTTTCGCCAACAAAATATACAGAATATACACAACATATTCTGTGAAACGCTTTGAGATATCTCAACGATGTGATAAGGCGTTATATCAAATGCAAAGATTATGATTATTATTATAGAAACAGCTTGGTGCTGTAATGGGTTGTATTCTGCAGAACAAGATCAAGTAGTCCAAGAGTCTTCTAGATCCAAAATATATCTTGAGAAAGCGGTAGCAAACAGGAGGTCCAAAATTCAACCTAGCCTTAGCTTGCAAGACCATTTTGTCTTAAACTTTAAGATGGCACAGAATTGTGGAAAGTTCCTCGATTCAATCTGAAAACCAGTTTTCCACAATTTCTAAAAAATGCTTCCAAGTTAAGACTGAATTGAAGAATGTTCCACAATTCTGCACCATCTTAATAATAATAACGCTTGCATTTGATACAGCACCTTTCAGGCCGGGAGGACATCTCAAAGCACTTCACACATTTATTGCAAAATGTAATGACTGTATTTTGTAGGCAAACATGATCTAATCAGTGCAGAGCAATGTCCTAGAAACAGCCATGAAGTGAACAATCAATTTTATCTGCCAGATTGTTAGCCCAAACAACGGGGGACGAAATCCCTTCTTATTTTGTATAATGTCATGGGATCTATAACATCCATCTGAATAGGCAGATGGGATCTTGGTTCTCAAATATTTGAGAAAAAGTAGTCCGTCTCACTGCCCAAGGTGAAATAAAATTTTAGGCCTTGGGTTGCTTGGAAGCCTGATGTCCCATGGGTGGCAGTAGATTTCCCTAATCGTAACCAGAGAGTGAGGAGGCAAATTTCATCCGTGAAGAAATTACAGGACTGAAGCTCTAATGCGATGCCTTTCAAGAACAAGGTTGAATGCTCAAGGTGTATTTCTACTGCTTAGATTACATTTCTGAAACTTTCTTAGGAAGTGAGCTCCATGTGGGAAAATGTTGAAGGTATACAACTAATTTGCCAAAGTTACTAACTTGCAGCCTTCAGCTACACGTTAATCAAAGTCAGGGCCAAGTCTTCCAGCCGCAAACACTTTGCCATGTGCCAGCAATAGTTTCTGACTAAGAAATGCTTGGGAATTCAGCATCTTAGCTGCATGAATATAATGGAGGATAAGTTAATGATATACAGAACATATTTCTATATAAATAGTCAAATCGCATCCTAGAAGTTTGTCGGAACCAATCTAAAAGTTGCTTTGTTTTATGCTATTTTGTAATAATACTTAGAAATTAGCCTTCAGAAAGCTGTTGTCTGTGCAATGTGTATTGTACCATTCTGCAAATAGGTTTTTGCGGGTATATGAAATAGGTATAGCTGAGTTAGTTCATGATTGACCTACAGGGAAGGAAAAGAGATCAAAGCACTTTGATATAATTGTCACCCTGTAAACAGTTTCTAATGACGGCCTCTGTTAACTTGCAGGAAATCCAGGATGTAAAGCCCGCAAAATGACATGTTCATCCCGAGCTCAGCTGACGCCGTTACATTACAAGAGTGGCAACCTTTTATGTTCCACCTTCATTTACCCAGTAATCAGCTGCTGAAACAAGAGGCTAGAGACAGAACCTGAATGTGTGTGGCATCACTTGATGGCATATACCTTTGAGGTCTGTTGTCATTATCATCTGTATCAGCCTTTTTACCTATGTCGCACTGACCTCTGCTTCCTCCTGATTTTTACCCTATGGCAGTAGGGATACTGTCAAGCGTTTGAAAAGCACTTGCGGTTAACGCAAAATTAAGAGGAGTCACTTGCTGGTGGCCCGATTGAAACTGTGATTCCACCTTGTGGTTTTGATGGGATTCAGAAACTTACAGGAGTGAAACTATAACTTGCTTCCAATTGCCTGTCCTCTGTGTACATTCATTCCATGGCCATATCTATGCTGTCCCAAAGTAGCATCAAAGGTCACCAACCAAAGCAATGTTCACACCTTGTCTTAGCCTGTAGATGCACGCTGCTATTCTAAACTATGTAGCTACAGTGCAAATGATAACCTTAAATATGTTTCAAGTATATTCAAATATATTAGACAAAAAGCCCTATTATTTACACAGAAATAACATCAAATAATCTACAGACTGAATCCTCCATCCCCACCCATTTCAGAAGGTTTTCCAGGGGTATTGATAATGGCTCCAGGATGCTGCAAAGCAATTTGGTGACCCATGTAACTCACTATATTGGTGCATTCACCTTAAGAGGATGCCAAAGTGGAGACCATTTCTTATGCAGCTCCTGGCGCCATGTGGGAAATGACACATTAATCCCGGGGGACAAGAAATCTTACAGGAAAGGTCAACAGAACATTAATAACCGGTCTAATTACTCCTTCTTTGGGTGAAAGGCTAACTAACCTCTTGTGCCTTGCTCTGATTTCCCAAACACACAGATGTACATGTGTGTACATGGATAGTGCCAAAGAATCAAAAGTATATTTTCTTCCCCCTCCCCCCACCCAACTGCACTTTCACACGGCCAGCAGAAATACTCTGAGTTGATTTCTTTCGAGCTGATAAGATGTGGAAGTTTACTGGTTTGAAAATTGTGAGTGGTGCAGGTTTGGGAGGTGGGATAGGTGGTAGGGGTGGGGGGGGGTGTTAGAAACGCAGAAGGATTCTCCTGTTGGGTGTAATTTGTAGGGGATAGAAAGCGACTATCACTCTTTTTACAAAATAATACACAAAATAGATTTCAAATGTAACTTTGCTGCAAGAAGAAAACACATTAGCAGCCTGTTGCAGGTCTATAACTTTTCTAAAACCCTAAAGGGGATGTTTCAAGTAATATTATACCATATAATAAAAAAAGACTTCAATAACATTGCAACTCTAATTAATCCGATTTTTTTAAAAAAGCTTACTATTAACGTATAAATGTGAACCTGGCTGTGGGGGGAAGAGGAGAATGTCTTTATTTAGAGCAAACCTAATAGCTTGAATAGAAATTAAGTTACTTTAGAAAAATGATCTATTGAACCCTGTGCGACAAATATAGTCCATATGTCGCTGTCATATCAACTCCAGGCTACATTATAGTAGCCACTTTCTCTCTATTACCCAATGATCTGCAACCACTATTGATTCTGTCCTTGAAAATTCTGCATTGTTTTCCCCAAATGTTTTTTGCAAGGTCCGTTATAATTAGTACTTGTGAATTCCAATGCCTAACAGTCTGACGCCGCTCATGAGTCAAGACTGCTCATTGTAGCACAACACAATGCGGTTCTGAACAGTTCCCTGTGCTGTAATTCTTTCAAAATTTACAAATGCTTTGCTGGCGCCTCCCATGAGTTCCTCCTTGCTTTTGTTCATTCCTGCGACTGATTTCCTGCTTTAAATCTGTGATTGTTGCAATGGAATGTAACCATTTTGGGAGCGTTGTGATTCCCTTACCCACAGAAAGGTGTATTTAAAATCCTCAATGCTGCAAGATTCCGCAAAATGTGAAGAGAGAAGCATAGTTGGCGTATATGAAGCTTTCTGTTGAAAGGCGACTTTGATTTTTATATCATGAATTCTATTGCTTGCATTATTTCCTTGCAGTAGTTATGCAAAATAAAAAGTCATTCAAAATTACAGGAGCTTTCTGTGCTTTCCTTCACAAATGATAATCATAATAATCCTTACCTTCGGTATATAGGGCCTTTCAAGTCACAAGGACATCCCAAAGCACTTCACAGCATATCCATATGTAAGTGCAGTGACTGTCTGTGTTTTGGGGGTGAATGTGGCAACCAATTTGTGCACAGCAAAGTCCCACAAAAGGTCATGAATTGAATGACCAATTTTATCTTGGGAATTGTTGGTCAAGACATCGGGTGAATTTTATCAAAGAGTTCCGTTTTCCTTCTCTTTTCAAATAGAGGGGTAGGATCTTTAATATCCACCTGAACAGGCAGACGAAACCTCAGTTTGCCACCTCAATTTAAATTGAGAAACAGTGTTTAGCTTTTAATCCATTCAAATCCCTTTCAATAGTAACTTCATTCTAGGAAAAATATACACTTTTTTCAATGAGTTATCCGTAGCATTACTGTTTCATGACTGTACATTACAATTTCATTACAATTGCAATACTGGGACTGTTTCCATTTTCTTTGTGGTCTGCGTATGTCTGGTTCTGTCTCCAGAACACTCACTCCATCAAAGAATATTGACTGCGAGTTGTTGAAGGTTTTGCTAGACTCTGTTCATTATCCTGGGAACTCACATATTTGATAGTTTCTGATGTTAACCTTTTCCTTTCCTGGTGCCATTCCCAGTGCAACAGTTTGTGATATTGTACAAATGCGTTATCTCGATCAGATGTGAGTGATTGAACAATGGTTTCAGTACTTTGTATTGAGTCCTCTCCAAAGAAGATCAAGTTCCGGTTAAAACCATTTACTTTCTAATTCTCAAGCCTTGTTTGCTCTTAGTTATATTCTTTTAACAGTTCTTTTAATGTACAATTGGCTGCTGCCTTTCGCCCACAAAATATACAGTCAATTCACTTTACAGTATATTCTGTGAAGCGCTTTGAGCTGTTTCAAAGACATGATAAGGCACTACATTAAATGCAAGGGTTATTATTATTATTTTTGTGCACAAAATGGCTGTCATGTTCGCCTACAAAATACACCGTCACTCCACTTTACAGTTTATCCTGTGAAGCACTCTGTCACATGCTCTTGACATGAGATGCTAAATCAAATGTAAAGATTATTATTATCATCGAGACGCCTTCAAGCACTTCATGTGATTAACTGTAAAATATACTGACTGTTTTTGTAGGTGAAGGTGGTAACCAATTTGTACACAGCAATGTCCCACAAATAGCCATAAAGTGATTGATCAATTTTATCTGAGGGATTGTTGGCCAGGACACTAGGAGAAACTCCCGTTTCTTTTGGAATAGTGCCACAGGATCTTCAACATACACGTGATGGAGCTTCAGTTTTACTATCTCATCGAAAGATGGCATCTCTGATAATGCACCGTTTCCCCAGCTCTGTACTGCAATGTCAACTTAAACTATGTAATCTCAAAGTCCTGACATGGGGCTTGAACCCACAAACTCTGCGTCAGTCCTACCAACTGAGGCAGGCTGACATCCTAACATACCTGTTTTACTAACGACTTCTTTATTTATAATTATTCTCATTTGTGAAATACTTGAAGACCCTCTTTTAGGTCCCATATAAATGCAAATTTGTATTTGCATGCTCACTCTTATTCTGAAACTCTTCGGTTTTCCTCATTAACATATTGTGCAGCCCAGCTATTTTTTTTTGGTCATGCAGAAACCCATCACCGTGCTTAAGAGTATCCAAACCAAGTTGAGAATTCCATGCATCCCACCTACACATGGAAATCCCAGCGATAGATTGTTGGAATGGAATGCACACTCTCTCCCTGGAGGAACGCATCCTGCTTACCCAATTCCGGAGAGTATTAGGCGCAGGTTCGCAAGCGCTAAGACTTGGGGATCCCAGAGTGTGCGTTGGGGTAACAGCTGGAGTCTAACCAGCTAAAACCGCATTGCTTGCCATTGATATTGCTGTTTGGCAAGCATTCCCGCTGCTTGGCCTGCTGCACCACCCTACTCTTTAGGGCTTTGCAGGGTTAACAGGAGCTGAGTGGGATGACTCCCTGCTCACAGTGATGGCCTGCCATTCCAGGTCCTGCTATAAACCCATTCATTGCCCTTTAATTACCCCCTTAATTCAGCGCAGCCTGAGACTGGAGCTTTTTATTTTTGCTCAGAGCTCCAGAAACCTGCAGGGGTGAGTTAACGTAGCTTTCAAACCGGAGCACCAAGTGATTCACTTTGTAATATCCTGCGGATTATATTACTCAACAGGGAGGCACTGTTGAGCTTGTACAGGGCACTGTTGAGACAGCGCTTGGAGTACTGCACGCAATTTGGGGTGCCTCATTACAGGAAGGATATATTGACTTTGGATAGAGTGCAGCACAGGTTCATGGGAATGATACCAGGGATTGGGGGGGTGGGGAGGGGCGGAGAAAGTGGTGGTTTAAATTTTAGTGAAAGGTTGGTTAGCTGGGAGTTTTGTCCACAAAATATATTCACTTTACAATATATTTTGTGAAATGCTTTGAGACTCTCATTGACGTGATCAGGCACTAGATCAAATGCAAGGATTATTATATTTTTATTATGTATTCTCTGGAATTCAGGAACCTGAGGGGTGTCTAGAATTAGTGGTTCAGGGAGTTACACAGGGACATTGGTTCAATATCAGGGCAAAAAGAGTTAGGATCGAGATGAGGAAGGTGTTCTAAGCATTAAGAATCTGGGAGCATGGTGCCAGACAGTCAGACATGAGAAATCAATTGAGGGATTTAAGATAGAGGTGGATAGATACCAGGGGATTACAAATATCAAGGCATATGGTGGGGAAGTGAGATTTGAGAATATTTTAAGTAGGTGAGCCATGGAATACTCTATGGAGGAGCTTTCTGTAACTAATTTTCTATGTTCCTCTGAATTGCTGCTCATTAATCACAAGGCATGATAAACTCTCCAAATGGGGTTATTCACTACAGGAACTCTGTCCAAGACTGAGCACACCAAGCGGACACGCTGGGATACACTTAACCACATAACAATAGGGGTAGAAAGCAATTATACTCCAACTGGGTAGTTCAACGGGATCAATAAAATAGGAATTTGGCCACTGCTGACAATGCGATGGGACAAAATAGGAGAACTCAACAAAAGCCGCTTGATGGAACAGATAAATGTTAGAAATAGTAAACAGTACTCGAGGCTGTTTCAACTGCAACTCAACATGATTCCTCAGTTAGTAAGAGAGTTATGTCTGGGATCCTAAAATGCGGCTGTGAAATAACATACAGCTGTGGAAACCCGAAACCATACTGCATTGACTCCCAAGCTTGCATCATTGGGATTGTGAGGTCAATTTTTCAAAGAGCATCTCTGCTCTGTGCACTCTCTCCTCCAAATAAGTTCTCGTTTTAGGTATTTTCCAAGAAAACATGTCAATCAAAACGCAAAGGATTGTAATACAAAATAATAATCCCTGCATTTGATATTGTGCCTTTCACTTCAGGACAACATCTCAAAGTGCTTTACAGGATTCAATATAAAGTGTAGTCACTCTGGATTTTTCAGGTGAACGGAGCAGTCAATATGCTGACAGCAGTGTCTCACAAACAGCCATGAACTGAATGACGTGAAGTGAAGCGAAAGAACACAAGTCTCTTATTACCTGAAGTTCATATTAAATTGTACGGTGAAATGAAATACCAGCAAAGTTTCCAACACTGGAAAATAAATTATAGTCAATAATTCACTGGTATGTCATGAGAGATTTCAGAGACTTATAATAATAACCCTTGCATTTGCTACAGAGCCAGTAACGCTGAAATGTCTCCATGTGCTTCACAGGGAATTGCTATAAAGTATAGTGACTGTGGATTTGTAGGTGAATGCAGCAGTCAATTTGCACACAGTGATATGTCCCACAAACAGCCATGAAGTGAATGACCATTTTTATTGGGGAGGGGGCTGGGTGTTGCTGTTCTTTTCTCTAGACCTGAGAAGATTCAGAAGTGACCTGATCGAGGTCTTGATGAGAATGAAGGGCAATGATAGAGTAAATAGTCAGATTTTTTTTCCCCAGTGGTCAGTGAGTCACCAACAAAGGAGAGCAAGAATTTAAGACAATCCCCAAAAGAATTAAACGGGAGGCGAGAAAAATGTTGTGCACGGCACAAGGAGTGACTGCACTGTGGAATTCTCTGCCACAACCCGTGTTAGAGCCCATAACCATGCTTTTGAAATGGAATTAGATA